CAATATGATATACAGTATTCCAAAACTCTTTGTTCTCTTGCTTTTCTTCAGGCCAAAGCGGAGCACTCTCAACCCTTACAGGGAGGGTAGATGAGAAGGAGAGAGTTTTGGGAGAGAGACAAAAATATTTCTCTCCCTATTATTATTTTTTGTAACAAATAATAAATAAAAATAAAATTGCAATACGATCAAAAAAAATTTAGACATAAACTCAAACTAGCAAGATTCTATACATATACATGCTAAAATATATTATAAAATTTTTTTGCTAAAATATAAATTCTAAAGTAATTTTATATAAGTAATAAAAACATCAATTTTCTATTGAATTAATTGATAAGCGATTTGCTTACGACCTTTACAATATCATGAAGGATTGTAAGCTTTTATTATAATTATCACATATTATTAAATAAATAGATATATAATATCACAAGTGATTTTTGAATAAAAGGAATCAATCATATAATGATTTATCATGATTTTAACCTTATTATATCTTCATATAGTATTGTATATGTCTTCACTTTATTAACTATAGTTCAATTATTTAAAAATAAATAAATATATAATAATGTAATTCCTCATAATTCCTAGTCTCAATACATATGATCTACCTATGTACCAAAAAAAAAAAAAAAACATATGATCTACCTTTAATTGGAAAGATGAATATAATATAGTGCAGATAAAGAGACTAACATCACATCATAAGGGATGTTTAAATAGTTAAGAACTTAAATTTTCAAAATAAAAATTTCAAATTTGAATTTGGAAAAAAAAAAAAAAGATTACTCCCTGTTTTACAGCCCATCGTCCAACATACCAAAATAAAGAGATTGACATTACTTGACTGTTGCGCATAGAACAAAACGTATATATGCTTTCACATGCTGAAAACGATGATACGTCAACAATTCAATATCCATCGGGCAGTCCAAGTCCATGAAGTGCTTCACGTGAGCACCTAACCTCTTTCATCTTCCTTTCTTCCGCAGCCCCCCAGCAGAAAACAAGCCTCTTGCCCATGAGAAGACAGGAGTATTCAATTCCTGTATTTATATGTTTTTACCAAGAAGAAAATTGTTGTATTTATGTGTGTCATCTCTGAGAATAAGTCATTGTTTTTAAAATGGACAGTGGTTGGTACATCTTTCGGTTCAACATTTGATTTAACATTTTTTAGTTTAGTTATTAAAAAATTATTATTTTTATTTTGAAATTAAAAACAAACAAATATAATGATACAATCATACACACACAATATAAGAACTGGTTGAATTGAATATATTTATATTATATTTTTAATGACTAAACAAAAAAATATTGAACCAAATTTTGAATCAGTGAGTATATCGATAATTTCCCTTTTAAAATAGGTTTGGTCCAAAGTACCTAACTTTTTAAAGAATTTTTTTCAGATTTTTAACCTCTCTAACGTCCATTCTACACTTTCTTTTCGCAGAACTCAATAGTCGTGATATATGTTGAAATTTTCTCGATATTTATTTGATATATTTAAAATAGTACATAATATTTTTCAAATAATTTTTATTAATCAATACTACTTAATAAATTTCATTATCATTAAGGTCCAAAATGCATTAAACCGCAAAAATTAAAACAAAATTAAAATTTTATAAGTATTTAGATAACTCTCCTATTTATTAGCTAATTTTAATTTTTTAAATTTAATTTTAAATTGTTATTTTATTTGAAGATTTCAATATTTTCTTCTTTAAATTAGAATTGTAATTATACATTTATTTTTTGTTGTTATCTAAAAATTAAAAACTAGATAAACTCAAATTAAAATTATTAATTTATTTACAAGATAAACAAAATTAAAAAATTAATCATACTTAAATCTCATTTAAAACTTGTATAACAAAAACTATTTTAGATTAGGTCATTTATTTTAAATTCAAACTTTACCTTATTAAAATTTTAATTTAAATTCGTAATTAATCTTATTTTATTATCTTTTTAAATTTCAAATTAATAAATTAATAAAACTTATACTGAATAATAAAACATTTCATTTTTACCAAAACAAAAAAATGGAACCCCTCTTTCCTTTAAGAACTAGAGAAAAATTTATCAAAAGTTGCTCAATTTTTTACAAAATAAAAGATAAATAAATCCATAAATATAAATTTAGAACAAAATCCTCTGTGTAATAAGGCAGAAACCACTTATTTCTTTATAATAAAAATACCTATAAATTTAATTTAATTACTTCTACGAATACTTGCAAAGTTCCTCTTGCATAAACAAGATTTCAATTATCTTTCAAAAACCCAAATTGTCGACTCAAATTTCGAGAGCGAGGGTGGCATATGCCTTCCCCTTTATTTAGGAGAGTTCTTCTCATAAAATAAAGGAGAACGGAGGTAATTCAAGATGCGCATGGGATTAACGTGTATGAGGACGAGAGAAATGTCAATTTTGGTGCCTCAACTTTAGAGTTTTATATAAATTTTATTACTTAATTTTTTATACACATTTTTTTTAAATCATGAAAAATGTATTTTTTTAATTTTTTTTGTCAATTGATCTATTAAATTTATTCAAATATGTATATTTTTAGTCACTCAACTTATAATATATATATATATTTTTGGTCCATCAACTTAAAAGTTTAAAGACTAAAAATATATATTCATAGACAAATTTAAGAAACTAATTAATGGAAAGACTAAAAACATACATTTTTTCTTAGTTAAGGTACCAAAAAGAAAGGCAAAAAAAAGAAAGGCAAAAAAAAAAAAAAGGATATAATTGTCACTCTAATTTAAGTGATTATTGAAATGAACATCTATTCTATTTTTTTAAAAATCTCCATTCATACTTTCAATTTGAATGAAATTAGCCTTCTTATACTTCAATTGAAATAAATTAGCCAAAATTGAATAGATATGTAAGCTTACATCATCATTCTGACTTTCCTCCTCAATACTTTTTAAGCTCTTGTTAATTTGGCAATCTTTTTTTTTTTTATGAGAAATAGAAAAATATATTAAATAATAAGAAATTACAGAAGAGTCTCCATCTCATAATATTATAGCCAAAAGCAAAATAACCTAAAGACAAAATTAGAAGTATAACCTACAGCACTAAGAACAAATTTAAACTATGCACATGACATATGTATACAATTAAGCAAAAAGAGTCATATGCAACTAGAGATTAAAATTACAATCATTGTATGGGCTAAAATAGGGTTACTAATGTAGAAAGGAGAGTCACTATAAGCATTAAAAACTACTAGATATCCTCATTTGGGGAAAGCAAGGGATTCTGATAACAAATTGTCCCCAACCTACAAGTTGCCACCCTACTTGTTCTTCAAAAAGAACAAACAAGAGAGGTATATGCCTTTTCTAAACAAGCACAAGGCCCCCTAATCGCCTCCATATACTCCTAATCATGTTCTCATCTTTGTCGATCCTCTTCAAACTCATGCTATCGAAACTCATTAAGGGAACTAGAGCCCCTTGCTAGCTTCAATATCAAGCTTCCCATGTAGACCATAGCCGGCCTCACCAACAGCATCCATTTCCTTCTACAATCAGTTGGCTTATCGAAAACTGGTCTGAACCAATTTTGCCGAATTTGACCCCCGCCAAGATCCCATTCGAGGAGATGCACCAAAGTGAGATTCTTGCTCTTTAAAAAGGAGAAACCCACTCCACCAACAAGATCAATTCCAATCACAGCTTTCGAAAATCAACAAATGTAAACTCAAAAAAACTCAAATATGCCGTTGTTTTGTGGTCCCTTGGGTTGGAGTTTCCAAAGCAAGACAACGGTAAAATGAAGGAGGAGATCAAAAGGAGGAAATGAGGTGTAAGAAGAAAGGAGGGATGAAGGAACTCCTCTATCGAAGAGAACCCCTAGGAAGGAAAACCTGCTACCACTGCTCTCAACCTTAGGTATAGTGCACGGGAGAAGTCATTTTTTTTTTGTTATCATATTCATTGTGTTTTAGACTAAAAGGGCAATCTTAAACCCATTTTATTAATGATAAGACATTTTTCTTTCCTACTATCAAGCTAGCTAATAAGGAAAAGTTAACCAATTTCATTTGGCTACTTGAGAAGAAAATATAATGTTATCAAAAAAGTAATTTCAAGATTGCCAAATCTGCAAAACTTATTGGGCATTGAAGGCAAAAGATGAAATGATGATTTATGATTACATCATCTTTAAATTTTGGCTAATTTATTTCAACCAAAATTTAAAAAGACTAATTTTATTTAACCTAAAAGTATAAAAGGGGCTTTTTTTTTTCAAGAAAAAATAGAGGGGTACATCTCGTTAATTATTAAAAGTAGAAGGGTAAATATACCCTTTTAGTCTAAAACACAATGAATATGATAACCAAAAAAAAAAAAAAAATGATGTAACGTTGCCGTTTCAGCATCAGGGTTTTAGAAGTTTTCTTCCTCCCATACACGGTCCTCCTCTTCAGATGAGCATTTCCCCTTTTGGCCGTCGCACACTCTGGTAAGCTCTGTGTTCTCGTTTCTTCTTTTTCCTTCTTCTACTTTTGTTCATCGACGTCCTCTCCCCATACCGTTCCATTTGGACAAATTGCCATCCCAACTCAACATAGAAAGCTGCATATTAGACTCTTCAAAATTGTTATGATCGCTCTACACTATTTTAGTTTTGGATATAAAGTCTTTGGTTTCAAAAGGAAATTTCAATGTGCTTGCACTTTCTTTGAACTAATAGTTATAGTTTAGTTTAATGATTTTGTATTCAAAGCATTATTGTGGGGTTTTGGTGAACAACTGATCTTGTGGCATTCGATTGAGAAAATTTGGAGGGTCAGCTAGCTTTAGTCTCGGATGGGATGATGTTGGCTGTATTGTTTTAGGGGATGCTAGACTTAGCTTCTGATGTGTTTTCTGAATTTTGTCTTGGTGGCTGCTTTTTCTGTGATTTTCTGTTTCTTGTAAGAAATGTATCTGTTTCTTCTAACTTCCTTGTTCTATTGAGTATATTCTGGCATTCTTAGATGGTGTTTCTACTTTCTAGTGGTGCTTCCTGCCAGATTTTAATTAAGAATTATAATTTGTTTCTCCTTCTTATGTATAAGTTGAAATATTTATAATATGTTAACCAATAGGGACCCTGTCTTCTAATTCTTATAAGAAATAGCGTGTTATCTCTTCCGTGAATAAAGAAGATCTAAATATGAATATAAGATTGTTCATGTTAATTTTATTTACATTTTTGAGTGTTTGTCCACAAATTTCAGAGGTTTTTCTATAGCATTTAAACATTGTCCTTGCATTTTCCTTTTCTCTAGGCCTATTTTTTCTATAAATTATTCTTTTCTGCTTTTTTAATGATGAAAATAAAATGATTTACTGATATTAGTGCATTTTTATTCCAAATTTGAATCTTGAATATTTTGGTTTCTTGTATTAACAAAGTCATTACTGATTTTGGTAACAGAGAACTTCTCCCCCACACCATTCAGGTGAGAAATACATAGTGGAAATCCTTCGCTTGAAGTGCTACCAAAATGGCATTGAGGCTGGCAATGCTAAAACATGCTGAGGTGAGCTTTAGTCCTATCTTGGGGCTCAGGAGATGGGCCCACTCTATTGCACTTCCAATGCCATTGGATGGTCCTGTTGGTCAACCAACAACACCCAAACCTTTTGTTTTTCCAGAGATAGATGCAAGGCCTGATAAGAATAAGAACACTAACAATGTTAATGGGATTGGATTCCCAAGTTTCTCTGTTAGTGGATCTATGGAGCTAATGACTGAACCCAAGAGGAAGGTAAAAACACAAAGGGTTGCAGCTACTTGTTTGTTTTCACCCTCAGATATAGTGCTTTTCTTTGTTTTGAATTTTTTATTTTGTGCTGGCCAAAAAGAAAATGAAAAGAATCTTTGATTTTTTGTCTATGGGTGTTTAGTGATTTGGATTTTTAGGTCGTTGGTTATTCAATGTAGGTATGTGTACGTGTTTGGTAGGGGTTTTGGTGTTTTAGGTACCATCATTTATTTTTCTCATAGCTTGGAATTTTGTCTGGTTTTGTTTACAAGACTGATGTTGGAGTCCTTAAAAAATAAAATAATAAAAGAATGATGTTACAGTATGAGAATGATCTTGCCTTAGAGATCGATCTGGTTAAATCATTTCTTGAACTTTGTGTTGGATAGCAAAGTGAAATGGTCATCAAGGGCATTCCGGATTCATTTGCACCACTCTGTGATATAGCTTCTATTCATATTTATGGGGTTCTAACTTGTCTCCAAAGTAATTTGATCCTTCCAATTGTTTGGGAAACTATTAAAGTTGGTTTGATGAAAGCCTAGAACTTTGGGTGCATGTAAATGGTTTACATGCTCCTTTCTTAAAACACTCTAAGATCATTTAGATTTGCCTTTTTTGGATGACTTTTTGTAAAATACTAATGAGTAGTCATTACTAAAGCCTAGTTTCTGGATCTGATTATTATATTTGGCTTCCTTTTGTTGTATCCAATGTTAAATGTTATGATTATTTTCCTTAAGAGAAACTTGATAATTGCTGTTAGTCCATTAAGAAGTAAATAATTCTCTAACTTCTACATGTTTTTATTCGATAAATGATTAGCCAATTATTGTCCCTGGATATACTTTTCTCTGCTTAGAATTTATAGGTTCAGTTTATTTTCCTCCTCTCCCTCAGTAATTCTTTTGTGAAATTGCATCTGTATCTATGGCCCCTTCAAACGATTCTTCCATTTAGTTCTTCAATTATATTGTTGAATGGTATTTACTACAGTTTTCTCCCTTCATAGATTATTTTTATTGTCTTTTACATTTCAAGTTTCATTTAGTCTTGATGGTATGTATGAAGGTGGTTTTTCTAAAGCTTTGTCGGTCATGCAGACAACTCCACATAAGAGAGGAATACGAAATGGACCAAAGGCTTTGAAACCTGTCCCAGTGATTATTCGATGCAAGTAAGCGTTTTGTCAATAATGTTAGCAACTTTTCTTTTCATTTTTTATATGAAATTAGCTCTCTCTCTGAATGTGTGGCTGTGTGTGCAATATAGCGTTCATCTTCAAGGTAATGTTAATTGACACCTGAATCTTTGTGAAAATTTGACAGCAGTTCTGAATGGAACTGGAGGGGTGCCTACAACCCCTACGATATCCTTGGATCCCCTCCAATTCCTTTCTTATCCAAAATGAGGGATGGAGACTAAGTATCCCTTGGTTTCTCCCTTCTTTTCCATCCATTTCCCTCCATTCAAATATGATGTTAGTGTTAATTTACTATATTTCAAATTGACACCTGAATCCTTTATGAAAATTTGAAATATGGTAATTTCTTAGCATATTGTTCACATAGGTAGTTTACTGAGGGAAGCTTATTGTTTCTTAATGTATACACTCTCCGCTTACTGTGGAATATTCTTAGCTTTTTAAATGCATGTTGGATCATTATTGCTTAGTCTATACAGAGGTGATAAGCTGTTGTCGGCAGCTGGGATTTCCCTTAAGTCCACATAGGTAGTTTACTCCCTGTGGATTTTCCATACACAAGACAAATGCTGCATTGCTGTTAGAAAAACATAATAAAATAAGTTAGCATCCATCATGCCATTCTAACAATGAAGCATGCAATTTGATGAGTTGACATTTTTTCTCTTGTTCTCAGTTGTCAGTTGTATTTTCATTTTTGGTGAACTTGCTTGTTTGAGTTCCCAACCCCATGAATGGATACAATATTAAAGTCCTAATGGTTTACAAATCAATTGCTTTGCAGGAGTTGTGGTAGGGTTAAGTTGCCTCACTTCTATTGTTGCAGTGGAAATAGGGGAGCTACAGGTGAACGAAGTAGTGGTTCATCTAGTTGATCGGGTTTTCAATATGCTGGTGCAGTCAGATTAGTAGATAGGTTTCCATTTATATGTTTGTGTAACGCAGTTGGATATCCAGATTGGAAGTTTGTTTTAGAAATCCCATATGGGGCTTGTGCTTCTTTTTCTTTCTCCTTAAATAATCATAAAGATAAATAAGTGGGTTTAAAATTTTGGATTTTTTTTTTTTTTTAAATCTTAAGTTGCACAATTAAAAGTAATTCTTCTCATTCCTTAACTCTTCTTACTCATATAGCTTGTGACTCAAATGTAAAACTTCTTATTTACATAAAAAAATAAAGATAAAAAGATTATCATTAAACTACTTACTAAGGAGATTTGCAAAACTTTTAAGGGTTGTTAGATGGTAAAATTGAAAATTTCTCTTGGATTTTTTCAATTTAAGCACCCTGATCTCTGAGCTAAGGAAAAGCATAAACCAATGTACCAAGCACTACGATCTGTGCTTTTTCAATTGTTATCAAGGTCTGGAATAGCCAACCAATAAGATTGGTGGTTTTTTTACGGTTGTATCAAGAACTTGAGATCGAATCTCGCTCTCACCAGGGAGGGTAGGGTATATAGAAGAGGAAGAGTGTAACCATGGATTTTAATTTCTCCTATATTCCCAAATGCTTAAATGTCTCCAGATTTTTTATTAATGAAAATGGCCTGGGTGAAGTTCTTTAGATATATTGTGCCATATGATTTGGTTGTCGGTATTTAAAGGTTTCCTTCTCATGGCTCTCTGCTCTTGGTACTAATTACAAATTTGATAGTCCCGTGGTTTTTTTTTTTTTTTTCCTTTTTTTGGGATTGGTGATAGTCTTGTGGTTTATTGATATGTCTATCAAGCATGTATGCGTTTATTTTGGTTACACAATAAAAAGTAATTATTGTTTATTTTTTATTTCACCTCACTTATATATTATGTAACTCAAACTCATAATTTTCTTATTTTTAATAAAAAAATTATCATTAAACGATTTAGATGGTTGGTAGGTAGTTTATTACTTAAAAATACACATAAAAATAATAACTTAAATAATTTTTTTTTTTATCTTAGTTGCACAATGAGAAATAATCATTTCTCTTCACTTATCAAACCTCACTTACATGTCATGCAATTCGAATTCAAGATCTTTTATTTTCAGCAAAATGAGATGATCATTAAATTATTTAAGTTATTGACAAATAATTTATATTTTAAAATGAAAAGAGTACCATTATTTTTAATGTTAATGAGGTGAGTTGTTGTCAATACAATTTATAAATGCTTATATATATATACATAGAGGGGGGGGGTGTATATCTATAGCTATGGTCCATTTACTAAAAAAAAAAAAAAGGGAAAAAACCCATCCCTTCTTGGTTTTTTTTAAAGGTACATGTAAAATATTTATCCAAACAGGTCTCCCAGGTATGGGCATTGAGATATTGACCCAGCCCAATTAGCCGATAATCCAGTTCAAAGTGTTCGGAGCCCATCTAAAGAAACTAGAAACTGGTCTCTTCCCTTTTGCCAAAACCCTAAAACCCCAGAACCAGTAAAACGTTCTTCTCTTTCTTCATTGCAGCTGAAAATGCTGCGTAGAAATATACGATTGAGGAGGGAGTACTTGTACAGGAAGAGTTTGGAAGGGAAAGAGCGTTTGCTCTATGAGAAAAAGCGAAAAATTAAAGAAGCCCTAGAAGGTATTATATTTCTTCAATCTGTATGAGATTTTGAGTTTATTTGATTTAAATTCAATTGGGTTCTTTTTTATTTTCTCGCAGAGGGGAAGCCAATTCCAACCGAGCTCAGAAACGAGGAAGCCGCGCTTCGCCAAGAAATAGACCTCGAAGATGAAAACACTGCTGGTAACTTATTTCTGGCTTCTGTTCTTTTCTTATCTTCAATTTTTGTTATAGAGAAACTGCAGCAGTAAAGAATTTTCCCAACTTTTTATTTTTCTTTTGCTTCTGTGAGGAACTTGGAATTTTTGTTCGGGCCAAGAGACCATGTAATTGATACCCACCTATAGCCTAGTAAACTTTCTTATGTATCAAAGTTACAAATGAATTGTCCAAAATTTTTATTTTCTTTGTTTAATATATTCATTATGAATTTTCTTTTGTAAGATTGCTTGTAGTATTAGGTTAAATTAGTAAAAGTAGATTTCTTTTGCTTAATTTGTTTCGTTTGAAGAATGTGTTAGTGAACTGGAAAAGAGGAGAATTGGAATTCTTTATCTTTGTGAATTTTCTTTGTGAATAAAAGTGGGTTGTTTTTGCATGTGGACTTTTTTTGTTGGCCTTTTGTTTGTGGACTTGTTTTTGTTTTGAGAAAAATTTATAGTGGTGATAAATAACTTCCTAGATTTCTAATTAATCCATTCTTTGTTTGCATCCTAGAAGAACATGTTAATGGGTAGAAGCCTGTGCCAAAAAAAAAAAACTGGGCAAGATTGGAAACAGTAATAGCTTAACACATTCTTTGTCTGCATTCTTTACATGCAATAAGCATGGAGTTGACTCACGATTACTTATGTTGCTCAATTTTAGTCCCTAGGACTCACATTGATGATGAGTATGCAAATGCTTTCGAACGAGATCCGAAAATTTTGTTGACAACATCTCGGGATCCAAGTGCTCCTCTTACACAATTTGTAAAGGTTTGTCTTTATATGGAGTATTGCTGTTCATGAGTTATGAATTTGATTTTGACCATTAATTCTGATTCATATGGCAATTTCCCTGCAGGAACTGAAGTTTGTCTTTCCCAATGCAGAAAGAATGAACCGTGGTAACCAGGTTGGTCCACTGTTTCCATATGCTTTAATGCTTAAGTTCTGTTACCAGTTCATTATGTAATGTATCTGAAGAACAAAATGACAAATTGTTATTCTTTATTTTTGTAATGTTTCTTTTATAATGGATCTTATGCATGGTAGTAACTAGGTAGCTTTTTTACTTTTGGTATCATTGTATATTTCAATATAAGCTACTTAGCATTGGATTTTTCTTCAGGTTTTAGAAGCATTTCTTTGATTTAAATTATCATCATTGTGTAACTAGATAAAGTTGACAGTTGACACTGAGAAGTTAAAACTTTCATTTAATCCATGTTTTCTTCAACTGTTGGAGTGATCTATTTCATGCTGCCTTATCTTAGTCATGACAAGTGTTTGAATTTGTGACTGTTGTTTTACTATGGAGCTGTATTTTACTTCCTTTTTGCTTAGTTTGGCAGTCAAAAATGCATTTGCATCTAGACTAGGTACAGAGGATTATCTGATACAATGTTAGAAGCTTGATCTCTTTTCAGAGTCAAGCTGTTGAAAAATAAAAATAAAAAATAAAAAATAAAAGCATAAAGTTGACAATCCTTTTATTTGATCTGATGGCAAAGTGATTTGATTAGTTTATCCATTGTCTGTATTTTAAAACTTAATAACTTAGCTTAAAGTCTTCTGCAAAAAAATAATGTCTTTTAACAGTTCAATGCCCTTTGTCTTATTTACAGGTTATATCTGAAATTATTGAGAGTTGCCGTGCACACGATTTTACGGATGTTATTTTGGTTCATGAACATCGTGGTGTGCCCGATGGTTTAATCATAAGTCATCTACCATTTGGTCCCACAGCTTACTTTGGATTGCTAAATGTGGTATGTATTTGATGAGTCATGTGTGACATTGTTAACCTATTGTCTGAGCTTGAAACTGTTGGTGGACTGGTTTCCTCTAGGTTACAAGACATGACATCAAGGACAAGAAAAACATTGGAACAATGCCTGAGGCCTATCCACATTTGATTCTAAACAATTTCACAACAAAGGTACTCTTATTGTTGTTTCCTTACAAATAGATCTAGCTTGATTACTTTGCAAAACCATTCACTGACATAAATTTCTTTATAAAAATTAAAAAATCTGATAGCTGGGTGAAAGGACGGCAAACATTCTGAAGCATCTATTTCCAGTGCCAAAGCCTGACACAAAACGTATCATCACTTTTGCAAATCAGTCTGACTACATTTCATTCAGGTTGGTTAACTGTTGCATATTTTGAAGGATTTTTCAGTAAAAGGGTATTCATTTTCATAATCAATACAAACCTTGAAACATTTACTTGTAAAAAATGGAAACTTTTTTCTTTTGTGTGAGTTGCTCTAAAAGATCTTGGGTGGTTCAACTGCTTGGTTTATCTCATAGTTCATGAGCAGACCTGCTAATTGAGTTTAAGCCTTCAAATATGGCTGGTTGTTGTTGCACTTTGATATTTAAAATCATGTTAAAAGACAACGTGATCAATTATCTGGCCTTTCCATAAGCTTTGATGTTTAGATTTGACATTTGGTGAGTCGGTTTAATTTATTCTATGTTGCATTTGCTTAATTGCATCAATTTTTTGGATTGCAACATTCTATTACTGTTTCTGCCAAAAATAAAATGAATTCTATTACTGTATATCAAATTTCCATATGTGACATTTGTAAATTCTATCTACTCATGGATATTTTC